TAGCACGAAAAGTACAGTGCTAAACAATAACAAGGATAGTAATACAAGAATTATTCTAGAATGGATAACATTTCAAGAGTAAATACTAGTAAAAATTGGGCAAGGGGTAGTAATGATCTTGGGCAAAAATCAAGTGTAACAGCAATTAAGCAAAATCTAAGCTTAAAATTAAAAAAAAAAGCATAAGTTTTTCAAAGTAATAAAAATCTATTTGTGATTATTTGATAATTGTCAAAATATAACAATGAAAAAATTCATCAATAATAATAAAATCAATAGAAAAGGTAATAAGAAGATATAAGTATTAGTATAATATAAGCAACTGAATAATCTGTACAAGCTAACAATAGAAGAATTGGTTGTCAATTATGTTGCTAAAATTAATATTAAATATAATGAATCAAAAAAACCTCTGAATTTATCTAAATTATTAGCAAGGATAATAGATATGCACAATAATCTACATAAACCATTAGAGTCTCTAGAATTTTTTCTGCAAATTAGAAATTGACACGATAAAATGATTAATATTTTAGTTGTTAACAAAAACGATAGATTATGAAAGTAATGTCACCTATAAAATCTGAGTAATTTGCCAAGTGTATAGAAATATTAGTATATATTAAAAAGCAGATAACAAGCAACATAAGAAAATAATAAAACCATTACAAAATTACCTGATAACAGTACCAAGATTATTAATGAAGCTATATATTAAAAACATTGTAAAATTATATGATTTACATAAAAGTAATATAATTTTATACAAACTATAATGTTGTAATAAATAATAAAATCAATTGAATAATATAATTACAAAATATAAAACCTTAAAGTTTATATTTTAAATATATATAGACATATTTGATTTGATTTTTTTTTAAAAAATATTAATATAGCATTTAATATTAGTGAAATCTCAAGTGATACTATTATAAATGAAGTCTTAAATAATACCAATGCAATTCTTACCAATGATAAAAAATAAGAAAGACCAGAAGATACCATATGGAAACATATGAACAAGACTTGTTTGAATGATGGTCATAGCAAAGCACAGTGCATATATTGCAAAAAAAAATGTGCTTGAAGAAAAATCAATGAACTAAAATTGCATTTAGCAAAAAAATGTCTAAAAGCATCTTTTAACTTAAAAATAAGCTATTTTAAAGAATTGGCAGGTATAGTATAACAAAAAAACAAAAAAAAAAGACATGGATATTTTTTATAATAGAACAACTAGTTTTAATGATATTAAAAAATATCAAATCAATATAGCTTTAATTCAATTTTTCGTATATTGTGAAATTTCTTTTTTCACTATTAATCATCTATTTTTTATCGATTTTTTTCAAAGTCTATGCTTTAAATATTAACCACCAAAGTGAAAAATGCTTTCAATTACTTTACTTAATCAAAAAATAGTAAAGATTTTTTGAAATATTTAGTGCTCCGAAAAAGTATCAAACTGGTATCAAACTGGTATCAAAATGGTACCGATCTATAGTAAATTTAATATATGGGTTGTGATCTCTCATATGTTTTTATAATAAATTTAAGTATTGAACTAGTATCAAAGTGGTATTGTTAAGAGCCCTAGGAATATTAATGAAGATTTTAAAAACTCAAGAAAATTTAACTTTAAGTATGTTTTAAAAATTAAAATTTTTTTATTTTGAAAATAAATAATAATATATATATTAAAAATTTATAGCTATTGATAAATAGATGAATTCAAATAGAAAATCAATTTATATTTTTATTGTAATTACTCCAAAACAAAAACAATATATACATACAATTTCAAATAAATTTGCATTTCAACATACTGGATATTTTAATACAACAAAAATAGAAGAAGTTTTGACATCAATTGGAATTAAAAAATTTATTGCAATAGTTTCAAATGGTGAATCAGTAATACAAATGGTCAAATGATTAATTGCAGAAAAATATCCAACAATTTTATCAATTAGATATATTGTATATTATATAAATCTAATAACAAGTGATATTATGAAGCTTGAATTTGCAAGACAAATTTTAAAAAAGTATCAAAAAGTGATTACTTTTTTTAAGGCTTCTTATTAAGCAAGTAATATGTTACAAAAAAATATAATTGAAAATTTAATTACTGGAGAAGGATTAAAAATCTATGTTAAGATACAATAGTCTACAACTTGAGATTGTATCGATTCTATAATTCAATTAGAAAATAGTCTTAAAGATATAATTAACAATTTGGTTTATTTTTTAAATATTAGAAAAACATAATAATATTTTTAAAAATGCCAATACAATATGTACAATTTTACAAGATCAACAATTTTGGATAAATGCGAAACAACTTCAAGCAATTTTAACTCTAGTCAAAAAAGCCATATGTAGTATTGAATATAATTTAAGCAATATAGCATTATGCTTTCTTGAATTAATAAAAATGGCTAATACAATTAAAAAATTATTGATTACAAATTTTAAGTTAAACAAGATTGTATTAAATTATATAATAAAAGATGACATAAATTTGATACTCAAACTTATCTTGTGACTTTTTTTCTTCATCAAAAATATCAAGATAAATAAAATTATTTTTATTTTTTAATAATAATAAAAAAACTAATAAATATATATTTTTTTAGCTAATGGATTTCAAGATAAAATTTTTTAGAAATTATGTATTTGGGCAATTAAAATATGGAAATGTTTTGGTAGTGGAGAAACAAGCTCTCGCATTCTTATAGTACAAATATAAAAATATTCAGAATACAAGGAAATATATAATTTTGAATATGTAGATAAATATAATACTTTGAAAATTTGGTGGTCTTCATACCGACAACTTAATAATTATATTCAACAACTAACATTAAAACTTTTAGCTATTACTTCTTACTAAGTTAGTTGCAAAAGAGTATTTTCAATTCTTAATTGAATGTCAAAAAAAAAACATAATAGATAAATATAAATAATTATTTTTATATTTAGAATTAATTAATTATTATTTTATTAGATTGTCTATTTTGTGATTATAATCTATGGCACAAATACACTCTTACTATATAACTAATGCAAAATCCCAATAAAAATTTTCTTAAAGCAATATATCTGAAGCTGATTTACAAGAAACAATTTATGAAATTACTGAAACAATGCTTAATAATAGTGATTTTTTTGATTCCAATGAAAAAAACTTTGATGACAATGAAGATTTAATAGAAAATTTAGTAGAAAAATCAACAAATAATTATAATAATGAATTAGAAATAGTATCTATTATAAATTTAAATATATAATAGATGCTATTTCTAATTCATTATTATATGCCAGTTTATAACTTAAAAAAAAAAATAAAAAAAATTTAAATATATCAGTTTTTAATGAAAATAATAGTGAAGATAACAATAATTCATTTAATGTAAAAAATTTAGTTGATGAATTAATATAAGCATATGTTTTAAATAAGTAGAGTTTAAACTATTCAATAAATTAAATAATTTTATTCATATTTTAAATATACAATATATTTAAAATTTAATTTAAAAACCATTTTGTATAATAAGGCATATGTCAAAATTATAAAACTTTATTAATTAAATTTTTATCTATATTTAGGATAATAAAAAATTATTTTTCGCAATAAGGCATTTGTTAAAATCTTAAATTTTTGCCTATTTAATTTTTAATGACATTAAGGATAACATAAAATATTTTTCGCAATAAGGCATTTGTCCAAATCCTTAATTTTTGTCGATTAAAATTTTGACAGCAACTATACTAGAATGGCAAAGTTCAGTTACCAGTTAAATATAATCCAATATTCAAAATAAGCATAAAAAACCAATTTCAACAGGTTGCAGAAGTATTTAAAGTTTTCTATAGAATACAAAAGTATTCAGGTTCTAGTAATAGAAAGTAAAAAATCAATCATTCTTAATTTTGACAAACTAGCAAATGACACTACCTGCAAATAGCAACTTTAAAACATATTTCCTTTCCAAAATATTATTATAAATATCAATAATAATGTTTTATACCCAAATACTTCTTTAGAAAACTCAAAAGATATTTTCACAAAAAATAAATGGATATAAATAATAAGAAATAGATATGTAATTATAAATGTTATATCGTGTTAAACCTCTTCTCCCGTTGATGGGATATTAAAAATTATTCTGGCACGGGCAATCGAGGAATTCATGAAAGGCGCATCTAAATATCATCAAAGGTTTGTAGAGAATCGGAGCCCAAACTTCATTTCCTATAGGTTCATATGCGACGGGAATCCAGCCTTCGTCATCAATATTATTTTCTTCCATAGGTAATGCCGGAGTTTGTCTTTCGAAATGTGGGACTTTCGTTATACTGACTTCATCTTCATGTTGGTGTCTTTTACCAAGTCCTTCGTAATTTATTATTCGAATTTCATTTAGCCTTCTTAGATTGCACAATTCGATTTTAGTCAGAGTTGCAAGATGCTTGTAATAGTCTTTAACCTCCGAGGGTTCATTTTTCCATGATTCTGCGATCATCGCCGACAGCATGTGTATCCTGTTTTTTTTTCTAATATACTGTATATTTATAAAGGTGTGATACATTCTGTATATCAAAAAACCATTTGGATCTCGTCTCATTCCGCAAATGTACTTTCTTGCAATTTTTGCGGGGTCAATTTCTGGTGGAAAGGGAGGTCTTTTAAACGGAGGCGGCACGGTCATTTTGATTATTGTGTTACGTGCGATTGACCTTGACCGTTTGAAATTTTATGCTTCTCGAAATCACAAGCTATAATAACTTTAGGCTGTAAATTGAGATCCTTAAGATGGAAAAAGGAAGCGGCGAACATTCGGGTTTAAATATATGGACTCGTTTCACAAGAAATGGAAAATTTATTTCTTTATTATGCATTGTCACTTTTGAAAGGTCAATAGTTACGTAAACAATTTAAAGAATTTTATTATTACTTTATTTTAAAATAATCTTTCACGGAATTCTAAAAACAATTTGTATTAAAATTAGGACCTTCATTCTACGCACTAAAATAAGACAGTGAGAAAATCCAGTGTTTAAAATTAAGTAAACAAGACCCGTAACTTCAGTTAATTCAATTGAATTATCATCTGTCGCACTTGAAATAAAATTATGATAATGCATTATGGTAGGTGGTACCGTACTGTAATACTGTATGTAACAAAAAAGCCCATTATAAAACATTAACCAACCGGAATACATATTCCATCAACTTTGCCTCAAAGCGTTTTTTAATTCCATTATGAGCTTATTATGCACATTAAACTGTATGCATAATATGTTGAAAATCATAAGTTCGACTGTTTTTTATTGTGATTCCGCGTATACAGTACATTCCTAATGCATAATCATTTGCCGGATGGCAAGAACGCGTGGTGCGAACACTGTAAGATAAAAATGGACACAAAGCGAAGGCGCAAAGGAGTAATCAAAAGGTTTAAAAGAAAAGTTTACCTAACCCGAGAGAGTGACACATTTTTTAAGAAAAAGCACCATAAATAGGATTTTTCCAGTATACACAGTATATACAGTATATATTGTATATGATGAAAGTAAAATATTATAGTACGTGAAACCGTCTATATTTACTTTGTTTCCCTGAAAACTTTCAAACTTTCGCGAATAATATACATTAGTAGTCATACGTGGTACCAGGAATGTGCGCAATAATCGATGTCATTATACTGTATATTATATGCAGATGCGTACGAAGTAATTGTTAAAAGCAAAAATCAAATGATTATAACCGAAAAACTTGGGTAATTATTTTCGAAGATGGACAGGAAGTTTTTGTTCCCCAGAAGCGAAAAGTGACGGTTTGAATCATGAGACTAGGATCACGTGATAAGTAAATGTAAAATCGCAAAAATTTCGTTTTTGATATATCAGGGGTTCCGTTTTTGATAGATCGGCAAGTACCCCAAATTTAGGTTCCGTTTTTGATATATCCGCAGTAAATTCACGTTTTTATTATTGCCCTGAGGTTTATCCGTTGCATTATTATCAGCTAATTATGACTATATTCATGATGTCAGACATATAACCATAGCTCATTTATGGTATCCCATGATTCTCTTTCTTCGATTTATTGCATTGTATCATTGTAATGATTTATTCATTAACTAGCAAACATGAGCGATAGTAATTATAATATATCATAAAGATATTGAAACCTGTTGATTATTGACAAAGATTATTTTTTCGAAGCTGAGTATCCAAGTGTCATTAATACTTTTCTGCGAGCTTCTTCAATCTTCTCTGCAGAATATGGTAGTTCCTGCCAAATATGTGAATTTTGAATCGGTATTGAAGTCTCGATAACTATATCTGAACAAGTTTGGGGATTTGAACTTAATGACAAAGTCTGAAACTTGTCACAGCGGGATTTCTTGTAAGACTGATAGATGTAATTTTTGTACTGAAAAATAAATCAAATAAAAAATTAATCAATTCATTAATATTATTTATTAATATCTTACTGTTAATCCCCGTTTTAAATTCCTGATACTTTGCGTTTTGCGCTTTTGTATAGATGGCGGCAAGTTTTCATTGGTTGTTTGAGTGTTTAAAATTCGATTAGCCTTACGAGGCTTCACAGACAACTTAGAAGGAGCACCCACATTACTTTGTTGTCTTCGATTCAGTTCAAAAGGACAGAAGGGGTCTGTACAAACAGAAGACTGCAAACTGGATGGATAAAAAATTTTATCTCCTAAAAAAGAAAGCTGGTTAGTAATTGAATCAGAACACTCGATATATATAACACTAATTAAATAATTACCTTGAGAAGTATAAAGATGTACTATATAATTGTAAGCGTCTTCTACTGATTCAAAGTATACTATATTATTTTTTTGATTAGCTAGTAATACCCTTTCTTTATTTTTAAAATATGTCACTAGTTTGTCCTTGGTCTCTTCATAGAATTTTTTATAATCTGACTTCTCGGCTTCTGAAAATATTCGGGCGGCATGGCAATGCTTGCAGATATCACGAAATGATCCTTTCCAAATATAGTCTAAATAAAATAGACATTCACCAGTCACGATGTTGGTCAGATAATATCCCTCCTTTGGCTCGACTTTAAAGGTTGCAAAGAACTTTTTCATCATAGGTTGAAGACACTGAAAATAGTCTTCATCCACATAAATGAGTTCCTCATTTAATAATTGGTACTCAGTTGGTAAACTTCGATTTTTCTTAATAAAATAGTAATCTGAATGGTTTGAATTTTCAACGTAATGTAAAAGAAAATACAATCGCTCCTGATTTAAACGTCTATTCATGTCAGAAGTCATCCTTGTGGGTCCATTTTCCTGTAAGTTGGTTTAAATAATTTAAATTATTTTTTTATTATTTTTTTTAATTGAATTTCTAATTGTTTGTCTTTAACTTGCCTGCTCTATAGCTTGCATATTAAATAATGTCACCAAGCCAGATTCATATGTGACTTGGCCGGTTCCTTCTTTATAATAGTTTTCACGTAACAACTTTATTCCATACAATCTTTCAATAAATGTCACTACAGTCTGCTTGCCTGGCAAAGGTGATTCAATTGTTCTATTAATTCGTTCTGTGTAATTGTTAGTTGTCATTGGATTTGGTTCAAAGTAATTTCTAGGAAGCCGACCAGCATCAATAAATGCCATTCTCCATTCATCGCACATCCAATTATTATCAAGATCATTGGAAGCCTTTTTTTTTGTTCTTGAGTTAGAGAGAGCGAGTTGATAAGTTCCTTATAATATAAGGACATTTCAAAGACCTCTTGTTCGGTACGACATCTACCAATTAGCTTAAACCCAAGCGCAATCAAATACCTAATTACATAATTTTTTATTAAAAATAATTATTATTGTTTCAGATAATAATTTGATCAAATGAAATAAATACCAGCCTTAGTTGATGTGGGATATTCCATTCTTTAAGGTGATCATTTAATGTCTGCATTATATGAAACCAACAGAGAATAGTTCCACGAAGTAGTCCTTGTACACCTATTTTTGTTGGCCGATGTTTATCAATCATGGCTATTGGGCACCACGTTCGAGTTGATTGACAATCTCTAATTCTTTTGAAACCTTTTCCATTTGGCAGATCTTCATAGTGCCATGGATGATTGCATTGGGGTTCGGAGCAGGGTATATTTTCCTGTACTGCAGTAATTACCAGTCTAATTGTCCAATTGTTTTCCTTATTGCTTAATCCTTAATAGAGTTAATATTAATATTAATTCATTGTTTAATTATTTTATTCAATAATTAAGATCAATCTATTATATTTTGTCTTACCAAACGCTAAAGGAGTAGCATGCTTAGTTTTATTCTCAACTATTATTGATAGCACTGGAGCCCGATCAATGTTTAGATCATATTTTCCATCAATGCCCAAATAATACTGGCCATAGTCTCGTCCATTCTTTAACCAGAACTCATCAGAAACCGTCAATTGATAATAACAGTCAGCTGTTTCTTCAGGCTTGGACAGATCCGGTTATTGATAGTACAGCACATAACCCTTTGGCTTTAGGACTTCCACTATCAAATAGTGTAAGATTGTCCAAGGACCAGTGTTGTCTTTGAGTCTTCTATCTTCACGAGTAATAAAACGTTTGAGAGTTTTGTCATTACAGACTTCACGACCAGTTGAAAACGCATTTCTTAATGCATCTTCATCATTGTTATTGTAAGAGGTAAGTAGCTTTTCTTTAATTCCCCTAACTGTTTTATGATTTGCACATCTGCCAATAGTAATTTCGTCTCTCTTTTCTCTAGTTAAATTAATTCGAGAAATTTGGATATTTTGAGGCATAATTACATGTGATGAAAGGTGTGTTCCTTCAATCTTTATGCGAAGTGCATGGGTTGTGTTTAAATAAGATAAACGTGAATACATATAAACTCTAACTGAGCATCGATGCATATCATTGCCATTCTTTAAATTGTTTGGCAAGTTGTAGTTCACACAATTTTGTTCACATTTACCAATCCCTCCACACAAACGTTAGCATCTATTTCCATCATCAGCACAATACATTATCCAATGCCAACATAATTTATCTTTTTCTACTCCTATACAAATATTGTCCACTCGATTTTGGCCTTTTTCTGTAAGTTCAAGAATATCATTGATCCTATTTGTAGATTTTCTTATACCAGAAGCTTCCCATTCAATATAATCTGTGGCTCCCTCAACGCGATGTAATTTAATCAATCCCTCACGAATTAATTGATTAACGTATAAACGACTTTGGGACTTTAATCGTGCATTTCTCAAGAGAGGATAGTTTACAATATACTATTCGGCTGCTCGGCCAAAAGGAATTGAAACAGTATTGTCATTGTTATAAATAATTTGATTTTCATAAGACATTTTAATAAGAGAAGCGATGAAGTCAAAATTTGAAGTCTTCAGAGGAAAGACGCGTACGAAAACTATCATTTATTACTATGTTGTATTATATAATCACTAATCGTGATTATTATATAATCATTAATTGTAATACGAGACGCGATAAAATCAAATTCTACAAAATTTTACCATCTTGTATAATGTTTCACACAAATTCGTAAATTTCACACAAATTCGTAAATTTCACACAAATTTGTAAATTTCACACAAATTTATAAATTTCACGCAAATTTGTAAATTTCACACATTTGTCAAAATAATATTGTACGAAATTGAA